TTGACACAGGGATGCAAGAGACCCACGGGAAGTGAGATTGGAGGCACTCCACCCAACATAAGCGCGTGTTCCTCGATTCAGCCAAGTCCACAATCTTCGTCATTCCCGAGTCCAGTGCCTTCCTACCACGCTAGTCCAACCTCTTCCTCCTTCCCTAGCCTCACTCGCATTGACGCAAACCCCTCTTCCTTTCTCATCCCATTCATCCGCAACATAACTTCAATCCCCGCCAACCTTCCCCCTCTCAGGATATCCAACATCGCCCCTGTCACCCCACCTCTTTCCTTTCCCCGAACCTCCAAGCTTAAGGCTGACTTCGATTCCCTCTCCAACGCTTCCTTCCGCCACCCTCTTTTCGCCACCTCCGCCCCCTCCAGTCCCTCGCGCCGCCACCACGTCGCGACTTCCACCATCCCCGAGTGCGACGAGTCCGACGCTTCCACCGTCGACTCTGCCTCCGGCCGTTGGGTTAGTTTTCACGGTCAGACCCCCGCCGGTCCCCCTTCCCCTACTTTCAACCTCATGAAACCCGCTATGCACCAGATCGCTCCTCAGGAGGGCGTACACTGGGGTTCCGTTGCGGAGATAGGCAGAGGAGTCTCCGATTTTGAATTCGAGAATGGCAGAGTAAAGCCTTGGGAGGGTGAGAGAATACACGAGGTGGGAATGGATGATTTGGACCTTACTCTCGGATTCGGAAAAGCTTGATTTGTTCTCTACAACTACCTTAAAGAATCTCAGATGCAATTGCAATCCTCTCCATTTGCTTTCTTCCGGCAATTAATTGGTTGTTATTCATATATTTATCTATTTTCTCTCTAATTATGTGTACAGTCTCTTATATACCAGTGGTTAGGTGTTCTATTACATCATGGAATTTGACTCATTAAAATGCCTTTTTAATTGTTCAAAGGTTGCATTAGAAGCAATCTTCTCCAAGTGTTTTCTTCAGACTTTTAATCTTCACTTTCTAAGACTCGGAAAAACTCGGTGATATTCTTAATTTTATCCTCTTATTCATTATTCATGTTCCTTTCTTGTCCATTGTTCATCGTTCTCTTGAGTCTATATGTGCTAAGATTGGGAAGCTTACTGTGCCTATAATATAAATCACTGATGTCAAGTGAGAAGAGGTGAGATAGTGGGAAGATTAATGATTATGTGATGATTTGGGCATTGCTTTGGAGCTTTTTTTCATTTATCTATAACTTTCAATTGAATTGTTTGATTGAGCTGTTTTTGAACTTCTTGTTCTTCGTCTAAACTGGCTCATTTTTGTTTCAGCGTTTAGTCATTTTATGCTAAGTATGCTGCACTTGTTAACGGAATACTTAGCCTTAATAAGCTTTACTATGTTTCGTTCTTGTGGGATATTCTCGACTCTAAGTTGTATGTTGCGTGAGCACTTACTGCTGAGATACTATGAAACAACTCTGATATGCAAGTGATTATCTATGTCGGCATTGGCAGTTCGTGACTTTGCCGGGCGAGAAACTAAAAAGCAGGTTTGAAGATCCTGGGATATATTTATCCTCTTTTTT